TGTGTGCCGGCTGCTCGGCGCGCCCGCAGCCCGGCCCGCTCCTCCTCCGGCGGCGGCGGCCGCACAAGAGCCCTATTGTATTATTGACACTGCTGGGCTCCAGGCCCCGCCTCTTCCCCTTCCCTCCCTGCCCGCGCCGGGCCTTCCTGCCAGCTGCGCCGGCAGAGCCGCCCCCCGCCCGGAGAGCGAGCTGGAAGCGGACGGCGGGGAAGGAAGAAGGGCAGCGTATCTGGTGAAGGTGTGGAGCGCATGTCCTGTGAGGAGCGGCTGAGGGAGCTGGGATTGTTCAGCCTGGAGAAGAGGAGGCTCAGGGGTGACCTTATCACTTTCTGCAACCACGAAAGAAGGCTGTAGCCAGGTGGGGGTCGACCTCTTCTCCCGGGCAAGGGAGGACACAATCTAAAACTATGACAGGAGGTTTAAGTCAGACATGAGGAGGAATTTTTCTACAGAAGGGGTGATGAGAGGTTGGAATGGGCTGCCCAGGGAGGTGGTGCAGTCACCATCCTTGGAGGTGTTTAAGACTGGACTTGGCACTCAGTGCCATGGTCTAGTTGGCATGGTGGTGTTTGGTCATGGGTTGGACCCGATGCTCCCATGGGTCTTTCCAATCTAATTCATTCTGTGAAGGGGCTGGAAGGGAAGGTCACAGTCTCAGCCCTTTTGGTGGGTGTCAGGGGCTGAGGGGAGAGAACCATACCTAAAAGAGTATCAGAGTGAGAGACAGGAGCTGGATTCCACGTGTTACTTTTCCCTTTGCCAGTTCAGAGGATGAGCCAAGGGGCAATGCCTGGTCTGCATCCCTGAAGCCACTGGCTACTGAGACTCAGCTTTGTACTGGACAGCTGGTGGCAGGGACAGAGGTGGCCAGGCACCTCACCACATCCCCCTTACCTTCCAGTAGCTTCTGAGGGCACAGTGCACCCATCTCAGCCCAGTCCAGCATTAAACTGAGAACACATGCCTAAGTGGCACAACTCATAAAATAATGAGCATAAAGTTTACCTTAGGGCAGCTTTTAGCCAGCTATCAGTGTTAATCATTCAGCCCATGACATTGAAACAATATTAGATAGAAAGCAGGAAGCATCAGAATAAAGGAAACTGGTAAAAATTCAGCACACCTCCTCCATTGTTATGCCCCACACTCATTTCCCATAGTGCTATTACCACGTATCGCTTGCCTCAAACCCTCTGGAAACCCCTTTTGCCTTCCTTACCAGAAGGACTGCTGCAAAGAGTCTTAGCTGGAGATCATCCTTCAGCTGCTGCAGCCCCATTTCTCCATTCTCATTCTCAGTAACTGAGGCATGGAAGGGCTATGGGAACTCGGCAGAGAAAGAAATGGAATCTGGGGACTCAGATCTGGGGTACAGGCCTCTTGAGCCCAGGCACAGAGAAGAAACAGCAAGATTATAGTGAGTACAAAGGAGAAAAAGGAAGAGATAAGCAGCAAGCATGGAAAGGATAGTTTGGCATGCCTGAGCTGCATTTCTACAGTGTTTCCTGACAGCAGCTGAAAGATGAAGAGAAACAGATCATAAGAAAGGAGGCACTGTTTCAGCCAAATGTTCCATCCAGCTCAGCCTGGCCTCCCACCTGCTCTACCAAGTCACGGGCACCTCGCACTGACTTCCTCTTGGCCCATGTGGGCATCAACAGTAAGATAGTTCCTCTGAGTACTCTCCAAGCCTCCAAATACTTAATCACATTTCCCAAGCAGTTTGTGGAGTGTCTGTTTAGTAACCCTCAACAAATCACTTCTCCAAGTACTTGTCCAAGTCAGAAAAAAAAAAAAAAAATAGTCTTTTTTCTTTGGAATAACTGGTTTGTATTTCTGAATGTAATATGAGGCATACCTTTCTACAAATGCAGTTACACCACAACTAAGCAGCAATGCTGCTATGTATGACTTCCTTCACACACCAGCAATCGCCTCATTTGCCTTCAGTTCATTTACCTGCCAGAAAAGCACTCTGAGCAGCTTCAGAAAACCACAATATCAAGTAAAACACCAAGAATTCTGCCCCTACCACATGTGGAACTCTCTATATCAAACCAGGTGGACCAGGCAGTAGGGTAGGCAGTATTGAATTTAAGACAAGAGATTTGAAGACCCAAATGAAGGGAATTCAGAGTAATAAAACTAAGTTCATATACTAAAGACCTGTTTTCTAGTCATAAAAGAAATAAAGTCTGAGATAAACTAAACAAAAACCATTTTCAAGTGCCAGTATCTTCATTAGGATTTCAGAACATTTTCTAATTTTTGTGTGTCTATGAAACCTGCTTAATAGAGTATATACATATATATATATATATATATATACACAGACAAACATATGGTGTTTAGGTATCCATCATTCTGAAGGACATTGAAGAATGCACATCCCCATCAGTGTAGGAAACATCCCTACAAGAAGTTTCCTGCCAGATTACTTTATATATGAATGACCTCATCAGGAGCAGATGCAGCCCAGCCCAGGAAAGGTGTTTAGCAGCTATATTAATTTCCCATGTCTGGAATCACACCCACCTCTTTATACTGGTTGTCACGTGTCAGGAGTAAATGACATCCAAGCTTCTATAGTAAATCCATAGCTGTACATGGTGGGCTCATAGCCAAAAGATAAATGACATAGGAAAACCCATATCAGAAAGTCAGTGGGGCTACAAATTTCAATAAATACTTTGCATTCACTGTGTATTTCTATACACATAGAAATAAATAGGAAGCAGATTGTACACTTTTGGTTTTTTTAAGACATATGCAACACAGTTTCTGCATTTGTTCTTGAAAGGATGGACTACAGATGTTCTATCACCTAGAGAATATAAGGAATTTATAAAGCCAGATGTTAACATGTTGATAAAATGTAGCACAAACAGGAAGTCATCCCAAGGCCAGAATGATCTGGAAGCTAGAAGATGTATGATCAGGGTAAAATAATGTATGCACATATACCATACCCAACTTGAACCAAGTCCTAGCTCAGCTGTACAAAAGCTGCCTGTGGTATATTAGGGTATTAATAAAGTTACACTGAAGTAGCATTTAAAGTTTGAGATGATCATGTAGAGTTTAACATGGATCTGAGCCACAAAAGAGGCACCTCTAAAATACCTAGAAGTACTGCAGTAAATTTCAACAACAACAAGTATTTTTGTATACTGCATCTGTTATCACTGATCGGATGCCAGAGAAGAAAAAGACAACAAGTACATAATAAGCAAATAGGCATTGGAAAGGCCTAGTAAGTTAATTCAAACCCCTTACCTCCAAGTCTTCATGGCATTCCCAGCCTGCACATAGAAGCCTCTCTGGCCAACAATTCCAGTTGACTCTGATAAAAGAAATACATAGATACCAAAGGCTGGTATACCACTTTCCTTTGAAATGTGTAGATGCTGCATAAAACTCCATCAGCAGAGCAGATACCATTGATGAAACATTGATACAATGTCCTTGAAAGCAGAGCAAACACTGGCAGTTACTGGCAAGAGGCAGAAAAGCTTAACTCCTTTATTTTCCTTTCACATTGAGCAAAATTATTGAACTGTTACCATAAAGTTCAAACATGCACCTGCAAACGTGAGCATTAATTATGACTTTCATTCTTCTGTGGAAAAAAATGCAAAGCAGAATCTTAAATAAGGATGGCTAGACATCTTCAAACCCTTGTGACTAAAAATGTTTCTGATACTCACTAGTAGAAATAGAAGCAAAGAACACTCAGAGCTTCAAAAGATAGTCTTTAAACACTGAGTCCAATCCTTTAGCACTTGTTGGGGCAGCTATCAAAAGATGCCCTCAGGTCATAGCACAGCCCTTCCATTTTATCTCCAGGACCCTATAAAAAAAGGCCCCTGAAGTGTTGTATTTTTTGTTGGGGTTTTTTTCTTTTTTTTTTTTTTTTTGGTGGGACTTCAGAAATGTGGGGGAAGATCTCCCTTCATAAAAAGATCAGCGCATTCAGACAAAAAAAAAATAGTACTTTCACAATCATGAACCTTTTACTCTCTTAAGAGCAAAATGTGCGAGCTTCACTTCCCAGGATCTGACAAGTTCAAAGTTCTGTGCTTAGGGAGATCTTTGATTTATCTTTCTCCTTCTTTCTCCTTCTAAGGAGAGGGCTGCCAGTAGCTTTCAAAACCGATTAGTATTATAGTTCTGTACCTTAAATGCATGGAAGTACCTAACAAAAAAAGAATCAAAGAATACATCTTATGCTTGTGTTAGTGAGGAAATAAAATTGCCTGAAAGACCTGGAAAGTTAGCTGCCTCTCTAGTGATGTACATCAGTTTGGGGAAAATCTCACCACAGCAGCAGAGCATCCATTTAAATAGGGAAAAGTAGGGCTGCTGCTCCCTTCAGTGCTTAGAAATTACAGCTCTGTGGTCACCCCATCTTTCCATATCCCCCAAAATGTTTAAATTATTTTTATTTTTGAGACACAGGATGGCTTAATAGCTTAAACAGAAAAAAAACCCCAAAAAACAAAGACAAACCAAAATAAAGAAACAAGCCCAAAGATTTCCAACTTTTCTTCCCTATGACAAAAGGTTCCTAAAAATAAAAGTACAGATTCTCGCATGACTCTATGAACTGTGACTTCACTACCACAATACTTGTGCTAAAATGAAGTTGGAAAAGCAGAAAGACACATAGCACTGTCATCTAGACACAGTTCTTTGAGCTCCCAGTACTGCAGAGGTGCTTTGCCTTAAATTTAGCCTCTTCATTTGGGTAGAACCTATAACAGCACATTGCTTTCAGCCTTTGCGGTTTGGGAACATCAGACAAACACTCATTTAAACTGTTCAAGAGCTTTTAACTTCAGTAAAATTTCCTAGCTATCAACTTTACCTGTTTTTTGAAGGACAAACTTTCTACAACTGTTTTAGCAGAAGGATACAAACAAAATCCACACGTATTTGATAGATCTCCTAGACCCTTGCAGCACCGGCAATTTTAAAGCCTTAAGCAATTAGAAAGAGGATGACTTGTACTTGACAGATGCTGGTCATATTGCTTAATACACATGCTGGGAAAATACTGAGATATTCTGGCCATGAAATCGTACATAGCTGGGGATTATCACTAAATGCATTAAAAAAATAAAAAAAGGAAAAGAAAAATGAGCAGTTGCACATTTTTCTTTACATACTCAGAAAACCTCAGAGCTTTTTTTAAAAGCTTCTCTCACTTCCCTGTCCTTTTCTTCTCTCTTACTCAGAAGCAGTGATGACTACATGTGCCTCAGGAAGACTGACCACAAACATTACCAGCAACAGTCTTATGGCAACTTGGCATTCTGAAGAGATGAAAGCAGTAAAAAGCATTTTTCAATCAAACTGGACACAAAGATATTAATGTCTGGACTGTAAATGCTCCATAACTCCCAGGCATTCAGTTAATCCTCCTGTACATCCTGTTTCTACCAGGTTTGATGTTTGCAGAGTTTTGCCATACGTAGATGGTTGTGTTGAGAGACAGAGCTCAGAATAGACAGCTCTAAGAAAAGCCTCCAGGATGGCAGTACAGTGAATGATTACCTTTCAGAAATTGTTCTCAGCAAACTACTGTAGCTCATAAGGCTCTGCAATCAATGCCCAGGGAATGGGATGGACTCCCAGAGCTAGCTGCCTTCCCACATATACTGCAGCAAAATGCAGCACACAGCTTCAGGAACTGCTACAGACAGTTGCACCATCCCACTCAAATCCATGGATGCTAGAGACGATACTTGCAATCAGCACTTATTCATAAGCTTTTGAAGCTGTTGGACTAGAATTTACATGTTTTAGATCAGATTTAAACATGCCTTGGAAGAGCTGTTCCTGTAGACCTCCAAAGACCTATGTCACCCTTGTGGTTTCAGGAGGTTTACTTATTAATTCAAAAAAGAAGTGGCACAAAGGTCCCAGTGAGCCAACAAGGAACTTGATAGCAAAAGACCTAGAGTTTAGGAACTAATCAGGCAGGCTACTGGGCTGCTCCTAGGTGTTAAAAGGTTTATTTCGCTATGTCCTGCAATAAATTTTTAGGAAAACAGCCTGTGAAATCAGTATCTTTTTAGAAGATACTATTATCAACATTGATTTAAATTTGTGCAGAACGCTGAATTCTGTATTAATAAAACCTAAATACTTAAAAGCCAGCATTTAAATAAGAAAATATTCAGCTACAGAGTTTTACTCATACTTAAGTCAGTAAAACATTTTTTTCCCCTTATTAGTCACACTGATTTAAGCATATATTTTGTAATAAAAGGTTAAGGCTGCTTTATGGAATTGAAAAAAGTCTGTCCAAGTTATGTAGGTGCAGCCTGGTATGTGGATTAAAGTCATGCAAAAAAAGTATATTAGATATGACAAAAGAAAGTGGGTGATCTAGCAACTGGGGCACAGATACTTCATGTTGATATTTGAAGATGTGATTGGTAAAAATGGTGAAAATACTTAAGGGAAGCTTTGCTATGACTCAGACACTACATGAAAAAAAAAGATTATTGGGCAACTTGGATCCAACTGGAGTAACAAGATGGCTTTTAAACTGTAAAATTGTACAATAATAGCTAAAGGTAAACCAAAAGCTTAGATACTTTAAAGCTTCATAATTTTTTTTACTAATTATATTCAAAAGACAATTGTATTGATATAGTACTTTATGTTCTTTCTAAATATTTGTGCTTAGAGAGAGTTACCATAGACCATTTCTGTTTGGAAAAGTCACATTTCTGACCAGTTTAAAGCCATGTTCGGAAATTTATTAAATGTTTACCTATTTTCAGGAGGATTTTACCAGATTTCCAATATTAAATGGACCTGCTTTCTAAATTAACTATTTTGCTACTATAACCACCACAATCTCTGACTGAGGAAAAATCCCTGCTGTCAAAAAAACACCTTTTTGAATGTCTAGAGAGTTAATGCTTATTTTCTATCAGCTATGAGTATCTATTTCAAGATACATCCCTGTTTAAACATGGAAATCAGTTTTTATACCTACTATAATTATGTTTTTAATATACTATAATTTTAAAAAGTCTTCAGAATCCAGAGTTCAAATATTTCAAATGTTTATTATAAATCACATTCACAGTGTAATACAAATTACATTAAAAGCTACACAAGAAATGTACAAAGAATACATGAAATATGTACCATTCTGGAATGCAAAGAATTCCTGACTCTTAAGCTAGAAGTGTTAACACCTGTTAACAAGAAATGGAAATCAAAAGATAGATAAATAATTGGATTGATAAACTCCTTCATTATTTAGGGATTTTTTTATCAAAAATTCTTTATGTCAATAAACAGACCATCCATGTTAAAAAAAAACCAAAAAAACCCATTGCTCTTTCCCAGCATGTAAAAAAGTTATTCCACTGTTTCAAGCCTAGATTAGTTTTTAATTAATCATCCTTTCCTCCAGCAGGAGTCACAAAAGTCCATTTAGTGCTTCATTTCTAGAGCAGGTCGATGATACAAAAAATAAGCTATAAACATACACATAATCATGTATCAGCATGTAACTTCGGAAATATTATATGTAAAAGTTTAGAGACCAAGGTAGTCCAGTAGATCTATTGCTGATACAAACCACACAATGACAGTTCTGAAGTACATGATACAATTTCAGTGTACTGTCCATACCAAAATGATACATTTACTGTACATGTCTAGATTAATTCTTATAATTGTTGACTGATGAGTTGTGCTAGTACTTTGGAAGGCAAGGTGAAATTTTTAGTTCTTTTTGCAGCCTTGCCTCACACTTACCAAAAAAAAGAAAAAAAAAAATTAAAAAAATTCTGGCTGGCTAAATGCAAATAAGTGGTAATTTCTACCAGTTGGATCCTGGTGGTGGCTTGATTATCTTTCACTTTGTCAAATAAAAACATTTCAAAGAAGTGGCAATTTTCTTACCTCTAGTACACCAATGGTTTCATTTATTCAGGATATATTCTTCCTTATTTAATCTATCCATAACTATAACAAGAGGTCCTAAGGATGTATTCTCTAGTTTAAACTAATGGCAAGTATTTGCCCAGCAGCAACAAAATGACAGTTCAGAACTGCTCTTGGGCATTACAGAACTATGAATTTCAGAAGAAATTCTTTCATGTGGTAATTAAAAAAAAATTAGAGATGTGTTTTTAGCCATCCACTTTGGAGCTCCAGAGCTGTGAAACTGATGAGTGAAGACTCATTTTCAGTTAAGATTTGCAAGATGTTCCCCTCTGATGCATGACCATAAGGAGGAAATTGCTTTAGTACCTCAGCACACCCCCAATCCATTCAATGAATTGTAAAGGCCATGCAAACTGGCAAGCCATGTTTTAATTATGAAATTTGGTTTTGTGTATCTGCATGCAAATTGGTTCAAGTATTAGAGGGCTTGTAAACCTGGACTTAAGCTTTAAGTTCATGTAGAAAAATCAGTAAGGATGTAATATGCAAAAATAAATCAATCATGTATTTAGTACCCATATAGATTTGCATTCTAATATGCATTACTTAGCAATAAGCATTATTACTGAATACTATTCAAATGCATCTCACAAAATGCTGGTAGCACTTCAGTCTTTCTTTAGAATTCATACAAAATAAATCCTATGGCAGTGTGTAGCACTTTACAGCACTTTCTATATCAGTTCTGCATGTAAAAGCCTTCTCCTGGGGTCTAGCAAGGAAGAACAGGTTTTTAATGCCATCAAAGTCCTTCACTGACTACTGGCTGTGCCCCTTCTAGCAAACAACAATAAGCCAGAGGTTTATTGCTCCAGGTGCAAAGAAAACTCATGTATATCCCACATGTGAGCAATGCCAGAGGCAGCTGTATCACCAAAGAACCTCAGCAGACCTTAGAGTAGCTTCAGCAGAGCACTCATGCTCAGGATCCATCTCAAATCAGAAAAGCCTGGCAAGTGCTCACTTCCAGAATGCTGTTGTGGCAATGCTCACCATAAATGCTGCTGCAAACAACTTTATTCAAAAAGCGTGCTGAAGCAGAATAAGCCAGTCCCAAACCACTTTTGAAAGCATACTACAAGGACAATTCATTTCAGACTAAGCTTTCAGAAAAAGTCAATGACTACAGCTTCCTTCCTGGACAGCCAGTGAAGAAAATTTGCATGCAGGAAAATTTTGAAGGGCAAGTTTCACCTAAATACACTTTCTAAATAATGTGTCTGAGTGAAAGATAACAATCACTACTGCATCAAACTTGGATCAGCACTGCACTTTTAAAATATGTATAACCATTAGATGTTGTCAAGAAACATTCAAGTGTCGATAGATATTTAGAAATCACTGTAAAAAAGTTAGTAGAAAAGCTCAATTGTTTTTGAAGTTAAACTTAAGTTTCAAACACAATGCACATGGCTAGCTATGCAGTTTACTCCAGTTCAGATAATACGGTATTAAAAACCACCAGTGGCTTTATAAATGGGATCTATGAGAAATACAAAACTAAATAACAAAATTACTGTGATATTCAAGCCAAGTGACATCCAAGTGCTGACACAAACCATACATGAGCACCTTCATGCTAAAGTTCACATTCCCATCTGCATGTCAGCAAAGTTGTAGAAATTGTCTACATCTTGAGATGCTGATGCTTTGCTTTCCGATACAAAAACCTGTTTTGTTAAACAAGAAAATAGTTATGCGTCAGTAAAAGCAGCCGTGCTCATTTGGAATCAGTAATGCTTATTTTTAGTTTTGCATTTCATGAGAGACACAACTGTTGGTTCCCACTGCATGACAGAACAAATCCAAGTATTTTCTCCTCCCTGATGCATCCACTATTTGTTATCATGACCCTTTCCTAGCACACATGCTGGCTGCATTAACCCTTGCCTTCAGGATCAGGAGTTTGGGGCTTCATTATTCAGGGGTCACAGCTTCAGTTAGTGTTTATTTAATGTATTTTGATTGGTAAAGTCAACTCTCTCCAGGAGAGCAGGGGAAAAATAAATACACAGAATTCTTAGACTTCTATCCTATAACAGAAAGGGAGAGTTTGTAACGAAGTCTACCTTGTGCTATATTACCCTTAAAAAAAATGTTGCATCTCTAGCAGATGACTATTTTTTAAAAAGTATCTTCAACTACTTTTGCATTTTTCAAAATTTATTAATGTGTGTGAAAGTCCAAGCTCCAGGAGCATTACCTTTGAAAGCTTTCAGTAGATCAACAACAACTGTCTTAGGCAATAGCCAAACAGCTGAGTGTAACAGAGAATGTTGTGGCTGTTCACCCATCTCAACATGCAAGTAAAAGCCTCAATCAAAAAATTAAATGAGATGACTTATTACAAGATGACTGTTTTCCAGAAACTGGTCAGCCTAGTTCCAAGTAAGTCTTTTGAAAGGAACTGAAAGACAGCAAGGAGCTGTGTGGATGCTATGTCTCAAAGACATTCTAGTCTTCTTTGAACAGCTGCCTGAAAGCAAAGGGTTTGTTAATCTCCTGTTATCAGGAGTGCTCTAAATGTTTCCATAAACTTTCTCAAAATCATTGCCATTTAGAGAAAGGGAATGGCAAGGAAAGTGTGGTGTAAGGAAGCTAAAGTGAAAGAAGCTGACAGAAGAAAAAAGAACACTGTCTTTGAAGGAAAGTGTTTTGTGGTATCCTACACAGCAAAAGTGAACATGGAAAAAAATTTAAATCCCATCATATTATCTTTGTCATGGTTTAATAGACACGACACCACATAGTTATGTGACTAAATCAAAGACTTGAAGCAGAACTTTTTTGTACTATAATTATAGAGTTTGATTTTGCTATTACGTGAAATAACAGTTTTAAGTGGAAATCTTGTATTCCTCAGTGGATATGGAAACTCCCTTTCCTATGACAATTTTCTTGTCATACAAGTAACTTGTGTTTTGAGTACAAAAAACCAAAACAACAAGATATTCCAATTTTACTACCCATGAACCTAAAAAGATAGTGTAGTATGTCAACATTGTATCTTGACCATGAAATAGCTCAGACATTCTGTAATATTTTCTGGGAATAAAGCAATGCACCAGCTTACCTTGGTCCCGCTAAAAACTTCATTTATAGTGCTTCGACATTGTTCCACAGCACCATCTCCATTGAATTCCAAAGCAATCACTGGACCTAGAAAACAGTTTCATCTAAAATCAATAGTACTTCTAAGCTTCACATTGAAACAGTAGATTTCTCAACCCATAGGGAATTGTGAAGCTTGCAAGAAGCATGCTATTTTTTCGCTTGAGCAGCCCCATAACAATAGATAAAGAATTAAAGACTTAAACATGTTACAAAAAAAGTACAGTGTTATCTGCAATTCCATGCTTTTTTTTTTTTTTCCCCCAGAGATTTGGGCAGGATTCCAGTTTTACTTCTTGAAAGGCAGCAATAGCACAAAAATGCTAAGGAGTGCATCATGGAAGTGAGTCAGACTATGCTGCTCAAATAGTGAGCCATTTCACAGACATCTGGAGTGGAACTGAGTCATTCAAGCATTTTTGCCTCGGTCCCAAGATAGCGAATTGCCTGATTTTTACACTTGTTCTCACCCACTATTTGCAGATCTGCTTTCTCTGGTTTCATTCTGAACATGGTATTTCTTCCCACATGACTGCAATATAGCCCATAAGCTAGACTATCATCATATAAGTGCAATGACTTTTGTCCTGTTCTTGCAATGAGCATCACAGACCTCTCATGTCACCATGAAAAAAACCTGCACGTTGCTAGCAAGTTTGGAAATGTGTAGTGAGCTTTAGCATACAACAGATAACAAGATGTCAGTACTTCTGCAAGAAGAGACAAAACCCAACTGCAGTCATATCAATAGAAAGTCTTTTGAAATACTCTGATAGTACACCAGTTAAAAAAAAATAATTTTAAAGGCTTATCTGCTTTATGTACATCTC